TTAATTATATAATTTAATTTCTGCTACTTAAGATACTTGACATCTGCCCCTCTAAGCAAATCTTTACGGATCCGCCACTTGTTCTTGCTTATCAACAGATGATGAATGTAATCTATGACCTCTTACATGAGTACTATGGCACCTGAATTAAACTGATTCCCTTTGTTTTATTTGGCTAAAACCAAGGTTTAGGTGAGTAACATGATATGGATATGCTTGATATCCAACTTGCATCTACATGACAAAGCATGATATTTCCAAACGCTATGAGACCCGTGTTTAAATTTAGTAGGGCTTGAATCTTTTGCCATCATAGACTCGTACATTGGTCCTCACAAATTTGAATGTGTTGTTGAACGAGGGTTGGCTCAACTGTCCTTAGCTTACGCTGCAGCCAAGCCTCTTGTTTCGATGCGTTGAGCTACTATTGGCAATAAACATTTTGGGCCCCCATCTACTAATCGGCACCCCTTTCCTAATGTGGCCCATTTAGTACGTTCGAGGGCCCAACATTGCGTTTGCATGCTAGGGTCTTGTAGTATCCTGAGACGTGACAGCTGAACCGTGCATTAGGGCCCACCGCCTCTCTGTCACATGCGAATTGCACATTCGTGGATATAGTAATAACTAGTCGTCGTAACATCTTTCTTTTATTGCTCTTTAATATCTCAATTTGACAATTTTATTGTCGTTCTTTTGTTGGGAAATAACGCAATATTTGATCTTCCCTGTCGATCAGTGAATCTAGGGGCGTGGTCAGAATCTCTGAATCCGAGCACATGATAGTGACCGACATGAGAAATTTAACATACACAAGAGGGTAAATAACTAATAACAACAACAAAAAAAAAAGGTCTAATGTAAATACTTTTTATGTGTAAGATGGGGAAAAGCATATTGTTTGTTTAGCTAGATGATCTTGTAGCTAGCTAGTTGGATTAAACTACTACTGCACTAACGAAATCCGAGAGCACAACCAAGATATACCTCAATTAAAATAATAATTAGAGCTTCGTATAAATTGGCCAATATACTGCAAGGGATTTTTTGACGTCTTGAGAGTCAAGGGCGTCGTCTCAGAAACCACACCTAATGGGGACTTCACAAGACTATCATCAACATGAAAGCAGAAGAAGGTTTCCTTGACAAATCTTAACAGGATTTTCTGACATTTTAAAAGTTAAGATGGTTAATTATCTGAGAAATGCCAAACTTAAGGTGAGTTTTGTGAGCTTTAGCTTGCTAAAAAACTATATGAATTTGTCATAAGAGAGGGAAAAAATAAACAAATAAAAACAGATGTCAGCCTCTCTCATCGTAAGCAGTTGTTGATATAGGGAACTTCAATTTTACAGGAATGACTACAATGAAGGACAGGAATATACTTTTATTCAACCGATGACATGACTGCCTTCCATCTCGAAAGAAATGAGCATTAGAAAGAATGAAAGGAAAGTTGGGTATCCAAATAGAGTATGTACTCCGTTTCCTATACTATACGTATTGGAGTCTAGTATATAGATAAGTACATACATCATGAGAGAAGAAAACACAACTTTGTACTCTTCACGATTTGATTACAGAACTTTTGCTTCTCCCGTCTATGAACACGGGCCAAAAGACGAACCGTAAATATCTGTGTCCTTTCTTTCGTTTCCTAATGTTTCTGCACTTATTGCGCGATCGATTTGTGTTCTGGAGAATTAATTTAAAATTTGGGAATTGGATTTGAAAATTTTAGCTATATTTATAGTTCATAATATGTTTCCATTGAGATATTAAAAGAGTTTGCAATGTAGATGCCTATATGAGTTCCAATGAATTTCTGATTTACTGGATGATTAGGGTTAATGTTTTTGGTGCCTTGCACCTTATGTAATGGAATAAGTTAAATGATATACTGCTTACTGTTGACTTAATTTCTTCCTGATATTTAGTCAGCCCATCATGCGCCAATGTTCTTCAACTTTTAATTTTGTTTCCATTGAGACATTCCTAACAAATCCAAGGATAAAAGACACATTTTGAAGTCCTCTTGATGATCATAACTCTGGCGAAGAGAATTAAGAGAGTTTTAATACTGTGTTTTAGAGCATAGCATCACTTCAGAGTAGGGACTCGAGAGTTTAGAAAGCAATTGATAACAAAGTGTGGTTCCTCATCTGCAGAACGCAGTGTCGGATTTGTATCTTGTATCGGTCAGCTGATGCGAGTCCTTTGTTGGATTTGGACCATGTGGACCGGGAAACAAACTGGACATTAGATAACGCAAAATAAGCTATCAAGAGACAGATTAGTGGTAAGGTCCAACCTACTAGTCACATAGCAGGTGAACCTCCCCATGTTTGCCAGTTATTGTGATAAACCCCACGGGTTGGGGGGTTAACTGAAATAGTGAAATTTATAAGTTTAGGGGTGCACAGCAAAATGGGCCAAACTTTAGGCGGTTATGTTAAATTTAACTTTCTTTAATTGGTGCTGAATTGTAGATGTGGATTGAACATGGTGGGTGGAACTGATCTCGGATGCCCATCTTGTATGTGATCCTATATTGTGTTTGGGTGATCGAAGTGGGTTACGCTAAATTCACCATTCTCAACATTGTATCCCCTAATCAGTCGTCAATTTTCAACATACGTAGCTGTCATGAAAAGAAAATAAGGATAAGGTTCAGAATTAGGCGTCTTTTGCCTGCAACCCTGATACTCAGGATCCAGAAAGAAAAGGAAAACACGCCTTTGAACTACTTTTTCGCAAACAGAAAAACATAAATAAATAAAAAAACACTTCGCATATAAATCAATTATGCGACATTTGACTGGGAAAGAAAAGTTTTAACTCAAACAAACAGAGGCAGTCTGGGTTGACGAATGCATCTAATACTTGTATCCTATACACAGCAATAACACCTTAGAAAGAGAATGAACATGGTAAGATAAAGTATAAACATGAATAAGAAAATCAATTTATTAAGCATGCAACCAAAATAATGCAACCACAGTGAAATTATACAGGAGAAGTTATAAACCTGAAATATTCATCTCTTTCAAAATAAGGCAAACATAATTTTTGAGTCGAGATAGTGTCAAGTAAACCAATGTTTATTTGGCTAACTAGACAAACGCTGAAGCCTACATGAGCAGTTCCACCTAGAAATTTCAGTCTCCTGTTTTCTACAATTACTGGTTCAGTGAATGTTCCTCGTGTGTTCTTGTAGATTAAACAATTGAAAGAAGGAAAATGACACATTAGCTTACGGCCAAGGTAATTTATAATCAAACCAACACATAATATTAATATCTTTCAAACATTTGTAACGGTAATGCACTAAACTTTGTTGAATTGAAACAAAAATTCTCTTGCAGGGTTTTACTAAAAAAATGCATGACTTAGGAAAGGGTTCTACTGTCTTTTTATTCTATCCAGAATATCTTCTCATAACAAACATTATTCATATTCACCATAAATTAAGTCTGTATGACATTTCCTTTCTTTAACAAACATGCATGTAATGTGTAAATCAAGGAATATGTCATGAATGACTGAGAAACACATGTTTATCAAACTTCACCTAACCTGGATGGTTCCAAACCATAGTAAGTAAATAGTATGAGGATATCTACCCTTATATGTCATTTCTCGATTTTGAAGCCTGAATACTCAACAATATTAGATGCCGAATTCTTAGGCATATAATATGTAGACAGAAATGCAGGTATTTATTTGAATGAATTGTCACAGTATTTATGCAATAAAGGATGCTGTTGAGGGGCCGAATTTAATTCATGAGCAGAAGCTGTATAATGCAGATAGGGTACTGTTCACAAGATTACTAGACAAAGCTGGGGGTGAGAAAAACTAGACGATCTTCGCTAATAGCTAAATTAAACTATCATAAATATATCCACCAAAGCTGCAGTGCAGAAAACTTTATAATGAAAATATACATCATAAGCATGAAAAAGCGGGGTTTTGTTCTATAAAAATGGTAGTGCACAAAACATATGAGCGAGAGAGAGATAGCAAGAACACAACTGTAAGATGCAACACATCCTTAAAGGGAAAACATTGTTAAATAAAGGACTATATGGAAAAAGCAACAAATCTTGCATGATTTCTGATGAATAGAGCTGTGCAACATTGTTGGAAAACTGATCAGGTTAAAAATACAATTAGGTATGATACAAAAGCTTTTTTAAGATGTGGATAATATGTGTGTCTATGGATTAAGAAATCAAAATCTACTATTGGAAACGAAGTTACAACAATGGAGTGAATAATACAAAGGTAGCAGGCTTACCTCAATGTACATGCTCCCCAAAATATGTCAGGGCAGAAGTTACCACAATTATTTCCGCACTTGAATTGCATAAGCTGACCTGACTCAGAGAATTATATATATTCCAAAGAACAAAAACCAAGATTTTTGGACGGCGATGATGGAAGATGACCTACAAATCTTACAATAGACTGTAATATTAGGTTTTTAAACATTCATAATTAATTATATTAGAACTATATAAACTTATGTAACTTTCTTTTGTCAATTGCTTCGTAGGCTTGGAATCTGTGCGCAATTTCCATCAATATTCATGGGATGTTGGGCTCCATAGCTGATGTCCATGGGATAAATCATATGTCATAAAGATGATGAACTACTAAGAAAAGGTTAACCATATAACTATTGATGTATTGTATTGTCGTTATTTCGCAATGGGCAGTTTTGCTTCACTGTGATTAAGTGAAATGGTGTAATTTCTGCAAAATTCTGACATTCCTTTCCTTTCGAATGTCTATTTATTTGCTCCGGTCTGCAGCCATGGATGCGAGTTTCATCCTCCGGCTTGGACACAAGGCATCAGACATCAAATTATCAAAACAAAGACACAAAGACACGGCTGTATATATGGCTCATAGAAATATATGAATTTGCTGCTACTCATGTACAAGAAAGAATCTAATTTTAGCAAAACTATCTATGAAAACCGTGGAAGTCTCGGTCACATGAATTTGGATTTTATCTGATAAATCCTTCAAAAATGCCGTTAACTATAATTGGAATATGTCCAAAATGATCTAGAATACAACTGATGATGACATGAAATATGAAACCACACATCTCCTGGTGTAGCTTTATTTCATATTCGCTGCTCAAAATGAGTAACCTTCACAAAAGATCATAGTGTACAAGACAAAAAATAATGATACCAGTAAAATAATTTAATCAAAATTGTTACCTCTAAATATAGAAGTTCAAGCTGTTATCAACAGTTCATCTCCGTTGGGTGGACAATGTCAAGTTTCGGAACATAACCTTCTTCTTCAAGCTCAAGAAGGAGGCTCTTCATGCACAAGTAAATATGCTTGCTTTCAGGATGGTTGTCATCTGAAGAAGTAAACATATGGTTGTTATTATTGATTTCAATCCAGCTGTAGCCCGGCACTTTCTGCACTCTTTTCTCCTTCATCAAGCTTCGAACTCTCGAAACTCCCTCCCATCGTCCAGCCACAGCATTTATATTCGCCATCAGCACATAGTACCCAGAATTTTCTGGATCCAGCTCGAATAAATGCTTTGAAGCAAGTTCAGCAAGCTCGACATTTCCATGAACTCGACAAGCTCCAAGAACAGCACCCCAAATACCAGGATCAGGTTTAAAAGGCATATCAGTTATGAAATTCAAGGCTTCATCTAACTGTCCTGCACGGCCAAATAAATCAATCATGCAAGCATAATGCTCCATTCGAGGCTCGATGCAATATTTCTCACTCATACAATGGAAAAATCTTAATCCATCTTCAACTTTACCGGCATGAGCACAAGCTGATATTAAGTGAAGGAAAGTAATATGATCCGGCCTAAATCCTACTTCTTCCATCTGCAGAAATAAGTTTACTGCATCGTTAATTAGGCCATGAGTCCCGTAAGCAGCGATTATACTATTCCATGATACTTCACTCTTTTCCTCCATTGAGTCAAACACACGACGAGCCAGAACCAAAACCCCACATTTAGCATACATATCCATCAAAGCACTCTCGACAAACAAATCTGATCCCAACTCGCACCTTATTACGAGACTATGAATCTCTTTCCCGTAATGAAGTGAAGGTAAATTTCCACATGCTGATAAGGTTGAGGATATAGTGACACAATCATATCTCATTCCTTCTTCCCCCATTTGTCGGAAAAGATTGATAGCCTCATCCAGTTGAGCATTTTGGGTAAAGTTTGATATCATTGAGTTCCATGCTATTACATCCTTTTCTGACATCTTTGTAAATATTTGGTGACTGTGATCAAGCCTACCACATTTGCCATACATGTCCATTAGCGCACTGGCCAAAAAGCATATTCCCTCAAATGCATTCTTAAGAATGCGGCAAAACATTGGCTAGTGCAACAGAATTAGGCTTTAGTTTAGTATCTACTAACTGACGGAACATTTGCAAAGCATCGTGATTCAACCCATTAAGCACATAACCCGATATCATTGCACTAAATATAACCACATCCACTGTTCTAGAAGACTCAAATACCTTTTGTGCCATGTGCACATTCTTGCCTTTAAGGTATATATCGATAAGTGCACTCTTTAAGAAAGCATCAATAGTGATTCCATTCCTCAAGATATAAGCATGAATTTCTTCACCTTGTTTCAGACAGGCAGTATCAGAGAACGAAGGAAGAAAACTAGTCAATGTTATGGAATCAGGTTTAACACCAGAACTTTGCATCCTATAGAACAAATCAATAGCTTCCTCTTTTAATCCATTTTGCACACAGCCGGATATCATTCCATTCCATGCCACTAAATCATTCTGTGGCATCAACCTAAATAACTTATTTACATCAGACGAGCATCGACACTTTGCATACAAAGCCAATAATGTGTTAGCCACCGACGCATTTAAACCCACACCGCATTTTATCACAAGTCCATGAATCTGGGTACCATAATTCAACAAAGCCTCAGAAGCAGCAATAGACACCACAAGCATAAACGATTCAGAGCTTGGTCTCATACCTGACATCCTCATGCTATTAAAAACCCCAATAGCATTTCCCCTATCCCCAATTCTCTTATACCCATCAATCATCACATTCCACAAAACGCAATCTCTCTCTGGCATTTGATCAAACACGTCGCGGGCCACATCGATACAATCACTAGCTGCATACATTTTAATCAATGAACTGCCCACAAACAAGTCCTGCTCCAACCCCATCAGACGAATCGTATCATGTATCAACCTTCCCAAATTTACAGCATTTAAACCTCTACAACACTTGATCACATCAGTGTACGTATATTGGTCGGGCGAAACGCCACAGACCCACATCTTGAAATAGAACAATAAAGCAAAGTCAAACAGACCCATGATGGTGAAACCCTTGATCATCCGATTCCAAGCGAAGCTGGACCTTTTTTCGATCCGGAAGAAGACATCTTTTGCCCTGGAAATGCTTTCGCAGTTAACATACATGCCCACAACCCTAGCGCCCAAGATGCTGTTGTTGTTGAGCCCATTGGCGATGATTTGGGCATGAATTTGTTGGCCTCTGTTGAGGTCTAAAGGCCCATGACAGCTTTCTAGAAGGAAGGTAAATCGAGTGGATAAATCCCCATTGTAATCTACGATGTTTGTGGTTGATGAGAGATTTCTGTGGGTTGAGAGGTTGAAATTGGAGTTGAATTTGGAGAGATGGGGAACTCTTTTTGCGAAATTGGAGTAAATTTTTTCCATGCATTATAGCGAATGAGAGGAGTACATCAGCATGTTCTTCTGATGGAGGGAAGTCTACAGAGATCGTTTGTTTAAAACGCAGTGGTTAATAAGAGAGTTACCGACTCCCAAAGGAATTTTGGAAGGGCTATTTAGTTATTAGTGCCTTACATCTTCAATTATTCCATTTTAGTCCCTCAACTCTATGGAATTGCTCATAGTTCCTCAAATCCTAGGGTAATTATCGTTTGGTCCCTGAATGATCAAAGGACCTTTAAGTAATGTTTTTTAAGGATTAATGCAAATTGGCACTCTAAAGTTTACACCATTCTAAACTTACTACCCCAAAGCTTTTTGACACTTTGATACTACAAAATTTACGGCTTTTTTTTTACTTTGATACCTCAATCTTTTGACAATTTGATATCCTAAGTTTGGGTTATCAAAGTGCCAAAAGTAAGACTTTAAGGTATCATAGTTAAAAAGATAAAAAAAGTTTTCTTTAAAAAATATCAAAAAAAAGGTATCAAAGTTAAAAAAGTGTAAACTTTAGGGTGTCAAGGTGTCATAAAACTTTGGGTGCATTAAAGATAAAAAGGTGTAAATTTTAGAGCACCAAAGTGCAAATAACCATTTCTTTGAACAAGATAATTTTTAAGTGGGAAATCATAAATAAGGGTATTTTGGTCATTAATGGACCAAAATGCAAGAACCCTTTGGATTTAAGGGACCCATGAGCACTTATTGAGATTTGAGGGACTAATATGGAATTATTGAAGATTTGAGGGACTACTATCTAAATAGTCCAATTTAGAATTATAAGGAACCTCCTCTACAAATTTGATGTAACCAGATAGTTTAAACCTTATCTTAGCATAAATGAGCGCATCATTAGTAAATTAGAAGTTAGCTCCTAGTTGAGGATAAAATGGAAGAGAATCAATCAACTATGGTGGTTTCTTGTACAATGAAGAGCTTTTAATGTATCGGGTAGAAAAGTAATAATATTATAGTTAATGGGGGAAAATGAAATAGACATGAAAATTATGATTGGAAACAATTAAGTAGTATATGATCAGGGACGAACCCCAAAAAAAATGTTGTGGGGGCACATTTATAGTTATAATCACAAACTAAGCAATTTATAAAATATAAAATTTTAGCAACAGAAAAATTTATTTATACAATAATCCCAAAGAAATAGACACAATATTTTCATTGCCATTTTTATATCAATACATGGTTGTTTTCAGTTTTATCACAAAACTAACAAAATTCTACTGAAGGCCATCAAATAATAAGCTTCACACTTGTGCAAGTTACAATTTTATTAGGGGACTTGTACAAATTGTATGGGGAACCCACATATTATGTTCACTCTTCAACAAAAAAATCCAATATAATTATAGACGGGCACGCGTCTCCACACTTTTCTTCATAGAGACAAGATTGTATATGATAATGATTAATTTAACAAATGAGAACATTCAAATAGTATAAAATAAAAAATATATGATTCATGCAGCTAATCCTAAATATTTAAGGTAAAAGACTTTATTGTTGTTGTCGTCATCTTAGACCGAACATTAAACATAACAAAAATTGTCTCCTGTTTAGGGCATGTTTGGTAAAGTGTTTAACATTTTTTGGCAAATAGCCTATTTTGACTTATAAGCCACCAAAAAAATAGCTACGTACCCTAGCTCTTTGGTGGCTTCTAAGCCACAAGGATTGACTGGTAAAAGTCCACTATACCCCTCATTATTTTAAAAATTTTCAAGTCCCATTTATCTCTCTAACCCCAATTAATGCTTTTTATTTGGTCATTTTGACAACAATGATGAGTTATATGTCACCCCATTTATAAAACACTAATATTATTAAAAAGTGAAAAATGCTTCCAACCCCCAAAACCCAAGAAAACATGCCCCCCCCTCCCAAGACTTTGTCAACGGGTGTTTTACCCCAAAAATAAAGATTTTGTTCTTTGAGATCCCAAAACACAAGACCCAAGAGATTAAAATATGTGATGACCATAATACCCTTCTCTCTCTCTCTCTCTCTCTCTCTCTCTCTCTCTCTCTCTCTCTATCATGATGTACTGAGATGATAGTTAAAATGATTGATGATGATTATTTTATTATTTTCGTTGTTGATGAGGGGAACTAACTATTTGTACTGGGAGATTGTTAAAGTTACGGGTTAATTGTTAAAGTTATGGGTTAATTGTTAAGGTTACGGGTCAATTATTAAGGTTATGGATCACTTCTCTCTCTCTCTCTCTCATGATGTTACTGTGATTATGTTGAAATGATTGAAGGGGATTGTTATTTTATTATTTTTATTTTTTTATTATTTTCGTTGTTGATGAGGAAACTAATTGTTTTTGTTTGTATTAGAAGATTGTTAAGGTTACAGGTTTAATTGTTAAGGTTACGGGTTAGTTGTGAAGGTTACGGGTTTAATTGTTAAGGATACGAGTTTAATTGTTAAGGTTACAGATTTGTTATTAAGGTTACGGGTCGGTTATTAAAGTTACGGGTCGATTGTTAAGGTTACAGGTTGGTTGTGGATGTTACGGGTTTAATTGTTAAGGTTACGGGTTTAATTGTTAAGATTACGGGTTAATTGTTAAGATTACGGGTCAATTGTTAAGGTTACGGGTTTAATTGTTAAGGTTACGGGTTTAATTGTTAAGGTTACAGGTTTGTTGTTAAGGTTACGGGTCGGTTGTTAAGGTTACGATTTGATTGTTAAGGTTACAGGTTGGTTGTGAAGGTTACACGTTAGGATATATATGTATATATATTTTGAGTGGAATGAATACTTTGGGTCACTTAGCCTAGTAATAAAGTTTGGGAGTTTGGACAAGAGGTTAGGGGTTCAAACCCCTACAACCATAATATTTTTAGAATATTCGTTGTTAAGGATAATGGTTGATTGTGAAAGTTACGAGTTTGTTGTTGTTGTGAATGTTACGCTTTGGTTGTGAAGTTAACCTACACAACAAACCCGTAACTTACACAACAAACTCGTAACCTTAACAACCAACCCGTAACCTTAACAACAAACTCGTAACCTTAACAATTAAACTCGTAACCTTCACAACCAACCCGTAACCTTAACAACCGACTCGTAACCTTAACAACAAATTCGTAAACTTAATAATTAAACCCGTAACCTTAACAATTAAACCCGTAACCTTCACAACCAACCCGTAACCTTAACAATTAAACCCGTAACCTTAACAATCTCCCAATACAAATAGTTAGTTCCCCTCATCAACAACGAAAATAATAAAATAATCCTCATCAATCATTTCAACTATCATCTCAGTATATCATGATAAAGAGATAGAGAGAGAGAGAGAGAATGGTATTATGGTCTACACATATTTTAATCTCTTGGGTTTTGTGGTTTGGGGGCTCAGAGAACAAAATCTTTATTTTTGGGGGCAAAACACCGGTTGACAAAGTCTTGGGGGAGGGGGGAGCACGTTTTCTTAGGTTTTGGGGGCTGGAAGCATTTTTCCCTATTAAAAATGGATTATAATCCACTAAATTTACTAAATATTTTGGCTCATAAATCACTTGGCTTATAAGCTGAAGCTAGTTAGATCATAATCCAAAGTTGTCAAGCAGGATTCTTAGAAGAATAATAATAGAGATTTGTAGGCGTACATCAACACCTTCGAATCTCATATGTTTAGAAAATAATACTTTGCTGATCACATGTTAATTTTTCAAAATTTTTCATTCATTGTAGTCCTAAAAAGCTTGAATCTCTCAATACAAAAAAAAAAAAAAAATTAAAAATGAAAGGAATTTATAATCAATACCAATTGCACTAAGCTCATTTGATGATAAAAATCAAGATTTAGTTGTCAAGATAAATTTAATGATAGCACGGTATATACTGGGATCCTGGTTCAAAAGTAGGTCTGAGCCGTCATCCTTTGTTTCTGAGGTCTAAAATTTTCATTAAAGACGAGTGAGTTAGCTAGCTAGGCTACCATTGCAAGCAAAGTTTGATATAGAATTTCCATCTTTCCACAAGTTTAAAGGATCTTCACCTAATTCGATCTTGCCCTCTTACTTTCATATATTATGCCCTTTCCTAATCAGATAGGCTTTTATGTTCTACTTTTGTGCTTGTCCAATAATCCAAGAATTATTTTGAAGTCCCAACACCAACTATTGTTAATTGGCGGAAAGAAAAGGGGGAAATATGCAATAATTCCTGAAACTGAAGAAGACCGAACGTGCCGCGCATCTCCACACACCATCGCTTAAATCCCCTGCAACTTTTCCACCAGCATGTTCAACCCAGTGGCTGATCATGAAATTTTTTGAGAGGGGCGACGAGGGTTGGGGTGAGGCGAGTAGGCAACGAGTATCTAACAATTATCTAAAAATAATGATATTATATTATAAAATTATAGCACGCAATGAAAATGCAATCCACAATATTTTATGGGTGGAGTCTAGCTTGCAGAGTTGTGCCACCCGCGATTTGAGAAGTGATGATTGCGAGTGAGGGATTTTGCAGAAATAGAGAATAGAGCTAGAGTTGACCGTTTGGATATTTGATAGCGGGATATGTGGAGAGAGAGAGAGAGAGATGAGTTTTGACCTTTTAGTTGTTCACTTTTGGATTTTTGGGTCGGGATGCAAAATTTTGAATGTTAGGGAGGAGAAATTGCCATGGCTCGGTTGCCGGCGTCAGCGGTAACATAACTCTCGGTGAGAATTTGCTTTTCTTCGAATTGATAATTGACAGTGAGTTTGGCTGAGATTTTTTACTTTTAATTGAAGTAATTTATGACGTAAAATGGGATTGAAGCTTGAGACTGGGTGGAGGTCTACCGGTGGTGCACGCAACACCTGATGACGGATGTAGACAGCACGGTTAAGACATTCGGATGGGGGACAATCGCAACCAATGAAATTTATTTATTTGTTTTATATAGCGGTTTTTTTTTCATATGCGCCCTTCTAAAAAGGAAATTTGTCCTACCACTCTTTCAAAGTTCGTAGTTGGTGGCTTTTCTCCACTACGCAATTTTGGGTTCAAATGGACGTGGTGGGCCAACTTCCACTTCATGATTTTTGC